GTTTGTGCCTGGAACGCTGTGCTCCTGGCTATGCAAGTCTACTCAAGAGTGACCTCTTATCTCCTTTCAAGTTTCTGCTTTCCTGTAAAGGTTGGGGGCTTCTTTGCATCAGAGATTTTCTGACTTTGTTTCTTCTCAATTATATTTATAATACTCTTCAGCAAAAAAAACAAGTAAATTATATAAGCTTACGTATAACTCATATAAGTTATACATAAAATTTAAGCAACCAAATCACAAACCACACTACTTATAAAAAAAGAATCGTAATAACTTCGTATAGCATACATTATACGAAGTTATACGACATCCCATTCCCACTTCCCCCTCCAGGGTCTGTGTTGAATATCCCGCGGGTCGGGACACATACATCTTGAAAAATAAATCCAAGGTTAACCCATGACTATAGGAGAAAGCTGGTGAAGTAATTTATCCTAGAATCAGGAACAACCCACCACTTTATTTCCTGATCACTCCCCAACCATGATTTCAGCACACTGGCTCTCTGAGCAAAAGAAATGAGTCACCAGTTACATAAAGTTATACCATCTAATCAACTCACAGTGAAACTGAGGGACCGGCCTCTGGGTCCTCCAAGCTTCTGCCTGGAGAGACCTGTGCAAGCTTCTTCTCTCCCTACCAGCTAGAATGCTTTACTGCTTGGTACACAGACAACTTTTCCCCTCTTTGCTTAATTGAGTGCCTTAAAATCAAATGTCATCTAGGCATCATTTGCTTTAATTCCAGAAGATGTAAGGAACAAACACTAGGTTAACATGATCCTATTCTAATCACCCTTTTCAAAAGGGCTGGCAGGGCTCACATCAGGCAAGGGCTTATTTCAGGTCCTGGAGGCATCTGCTAAGACTAACAGGCAGCCTAGTCAGGAAACATAAAGAGCAGAAATGTAATAATAATGGCTACCTTTTTCTTTGGCATAAATCTCATCTAATCCTCAGGTATATATTGCACTTCCCAATGAACAGGTGAAGAAACTGAGGCTTCAGTTAAGCAAATTGCCTGAGTTTGTAGGAGAGCTGATATTTGAGTCTAAAGTTAATCTGGCTTCAAAACCCATTCCTTTTGTTACACAAAGCTGACTCTCAATAATCCATAGGCTCATCAAGGATGGAGTTAAGAAAGTTGCTAATGGAAATTATTTGTTGAGGCAAGAAAAATCAAGTACATGATAGAGTAATCCAATTCTGCTTGCTTTACAGGATTATGAAAAAATAATTGCCATTTTAGCAAAACGGTTCCATTCTGTCACAGTGTTCCCATACTGCCCTGGTGGTACGGCCCAGCAGAGCTATGTTGTATGTTATAAAGGTATTAAAACCAAAAGGCCCTCCATTCAGAGGTCATAAAGCAGGAACTCAAGAAAGCTCATTAACCCTTTAAAGTCTGATTTTATATGCCTTTTCCTTTCCCTATAAGAAGTCTCACTGATACACTGATCCTAATATTTTTAACTCTCTATTAAATGTCTATAAGGAGCTAGATATAAAGAGGATGCATAATGACAAATAATCTACAATACCACAAGACCAAAATTCCAGAACCTCAAACCACGGGAAGGAAATGTAGTCATTGGGGCAGATTTATTGCACTGAAACTTCTGAAAATTGAGTCTGAAATGTTAATTTCCCCAAAACTTACAGTTGATTATGAAGCATCATATTGAATAACAATCACTGCTCTGGAGAGAGGTCCTATAAGAATATTTGATCAAGAATTCATTCCTTGAGATCCTATAGGGTTAGGTAAATGTAGGACTCATATGTCTTTTAAAAATTCTTAACTCTCAATGAACTGATGCTACATTTTCCATGGTCTGCCCATCACTTAAAAAATCTGGGTTTAGTAAGTGATACTTCACAGTTATTCCATCACCATCTATTATATTAGGATGAGTGTTCGCCAATGCTTCCTAGCAATTAAGAGTCTTTAGGTCATCTCTCTGAATGAGTAAGATGGGAATTAAAATTTCACAGCCCAAGTCACATAGCCAAACCAAATCACTATGCAGGAATTCAGATGTCTGAAAAACTAAATTTGATGGAAAAGGAATAAAAAATATATTTTCCACACAAGGAATTTATGCGCATGTTCCATTCTTTCACCTTTGAAGAGTTCATACCTTCTAGTAAGGTTGTTTGCTACTTCCCATATTCTAAAGGCAGCGGTTGCCCTCCAGATTTCTTCTGAGCATTGGGCAGACTTCTATTTTACATGCCAAACTTGCTATACTCCTGGTAAAGCTAAGAGAAGAAAAGAAACTATGCTCCAAGAAAGGACAGCTTATGCCCTTTCTGTGTCACTGATGGTAAGCGTTGATTTAATTAAAACGAACACACACAAAAGGAGTGGGAGAGTAATAAAGTAGTTCTTTGCAAGGATGAAGAGACAGGAAAACAAGTACATTTCTGTGAACTGGAAGTGTGATTCTTGCTTGCTATAATCCCAGCTGCTAATGGGGTAATGCCCCTTCTGTTCTCTATTTAGTTACTGGATTTGGGTATTTTAAAAATATTTTCATTAAAATCAGGTGGGTTGTTTAGAAGCTGGTAGCTCAACCTTTGAACAAAAACAAGAAAATGAAATCTAAGCTGAAAACATCAAGACAGTAAAACAAGCAAATAAATCAAGTTCAAAATAAACATTTTCTTTTTAATTTTAAAAGGCATGAAATGAGTTTTTAGGGTTTTTTTTTAATAACTTGAAGGAAGTTTTTACATTTTGTGTCCACATGTCCTAAACATGAATACAAGCCCATAAGCAGGTCTTACCTATGGGGACCACTAATCTTTTGCAAAGTAGAAATGAACATAAATTATTTTCAAAAAGCTGATTTTTTTGCATGTATTAAACTGCAATTCATCTCCTAACATACAAATAATTGTGACAAGATAACTGATATCAAACACTCCAACCTAATTCCACACCAGAGTTGTTTTCATCTCATATCTTGAAAGGTCTGCCATAAAAACATTTTAGTGAAGCCAAGATGGTAAATCTTGTTGTGACTCATTGATTTCAAAGGGATGCACCACAGTTTCTTATTTCCACATCTATACAACTTTATTAAGAAGTAAAATGCATGCGAGCATGTTTTATATATGGACAAGCGCATTCCTGTAAAAATGAATGGCACATTATCATCTAACAGTTGAACCTGACATATCAAGAATGGGGTTTTAAAAAATAATATACTAATATTTCACATGACTATTTGAAGAATTAAATAATAAAATAAACTTTAACAGCAGTTAAAGATATTTTTAAAAAGCCATTAATTGTTTACTATTTGCCATAATCTAGAATCACTCAAATACCTCTTCCATTAAAAAAAAAAAAAAAAAAAAAAAAGACACTATGCCTCTTCTACCAGCCAAACAAAGGACTGGTTGGAAATCGCTGTGATGACAACAGCTGGCACCACCTGCCATTATTCCAGTTCCTTCTCTCATAGGGCAGTGGGTTAAGGTAGTCACTTCTCAGTACAGTGTGCAATTACATATATAGGGTAATCATAAAACAACCTCCAAATTAGGACACTTCTGCGAGTGAGAGGAGGCACTGTTTAATTAAGCTGGGAAAACAGGAATAAACACAACTGTTCTGAGCTAACTCAGGATATATGAGGGTACTTCAAAAAGTTCGCGGAAAAACAGAATTAAAAGATAATATGAATCTTTCCACGAACTTTTTGAAGTACTCTCATATGTATCTTAACTTAAATACAGTATCAGATTCACCACCATTACTTTTGTGTTTTATAAAGCAGTACATACCAGTTGAAAAATTTATATGAAATTAAGGAATCCTAAATTTTTCTCCAACATTCTGAACTCTATATTTCCTGTTATGAGAAGTTTAACTGGAAATATTAGTGATTATTTTTTTTAACAGGTTAAGATTTAGGAACAACTTCAAAGGCATGTCTAAATTGGGATATATCTTACAAATTCAAAATAATAGGCTAGAGATTAGTGTGTTTTCTATTAAGCAGAGATTTTAATTTTAACTGAGTGCAATGGGATTTGTATTTTCACTTTAAATTTCTAAAATTTATCCTGAAAAAGTATTTTTGCCTTAAAATAGTTTATTGCATAAATACCTAAAAATTATCCTAGCTATAGCTTATTCAAATACAATAGAAATAATTTTTCCATTAATTTCCAAGCCCCAGTTCACATTCATCCAAAAATGTTTAGATACCCTAACAAGAGTTTTGATTTTCAGTCTTTAAGGTAGAGTGCAAAGGTGGTCAAGCCCCCAAAACACAATAGCAGCTGCTCAAGCTCACAGGAAATGAAGGGAAGTACACAGGATTTGTAAGTCTGAAGGGAATGTTAAATTTCTGAAAATAACATTTTGATTCCCCTGCTTGGATGATGTGATTTAAGACTACTACTGAATTTTACCACTTACAGAGGATTAGGTAATATGTACACTTGAACCCTACCGATTTGGGGGGAAAAAAAAACAAAACAAAAAGTGAGGTTTTGATATTGGATCAAAAGTGACAAATCCATATTCAGAAATTAAGTATAAATACTATAAAAACAAAAATGAAATTGTAATAAATTGATGTTTGATAGCTGAGCTTCCTAGTAATTTAAAATTATCATATATCAAAGTTTAATTTTGTTTAAAAATTATTTTAAAAGAACGAAGTATAAGTCTGTAAGGAAACTAACATGAAATAATGAAGAGATCCAGCATGAGTTTGCACACATTATTAGTAACTTATAATTTTAATGAATTTACAAATTAGCTAAAAATTAAATATTTTGTTTTCTTTACCCCACACCATTGTTTTAACTTCAAGGGGTGTAACACAAGTACTTTAATCAACAATAAAAATTCTATGCGGGGGAGTAAAATGAATGAGGAAAAACAAAAAATTGGAGGCTCAATTAGCAAAACAAAATTGTATGTTTTATTTATCAAGAACAATGAAAAAAATTAGAAAATACAGAGAAATACAGAAGAGGTTATAAAGCATAATAAATTTTATTTTTTCAGAAATGGAAAAATGTCCCTGAATAGTTAGATATACCATTTAGTAGTAGTCAATGTCTAATAATAAGCTATCAGTTTAATATGTTCTATATAGCTGTATTAAATGATTTTTAAGTTTAGAATATGATATAATTCCCATCATTTTTAATGTTGGCATTCAAGAGCAAAGATATAACTGAAAAGAAAAACAGACGAGACATAAAATGATTTGCAAGATGCAAAATGTAGTAGCTTACGAATGTAAAGCAGATTCCCGTTGTAATTATGGCTACACACTCTCATCACAAACATACCCCCCCACACCCTTGTATTCCACAGACACATTTTCATAACTTGAAAATGGGTATTTCACATCTCCCAAATCAGGATATGTTTTTTATGAGTCAATCCTACAATCATAAAGCAGGAAGCTATTAATAGCACGAGATTTTATTTACTAATCTTAAACATTTAAGGATAAATTTATTACAATGATATTGAAAGATACTTTTATTGGCTTTTTAAAAGACAAATGCAAATGAGAATCATATTTGGAAAATTAGCTTTCAAAACTCTTAAATGAAATAAATATAATATCTAATACAATCTTTTCCTACAAGAATCTCTATGATGGGCAGTCCTAAAAACAAAGCTACTCATTTGAAAATCCCTAAAACTAGTATGTCCCTTAAAAAAGAAAATTTTCTCATAAAGGACATTTGGTATACCCACATTTTCTTAAAATTTGCCTTACAACAAACTCAGTCTTTAACACTCAAAGTTTCTATATATGTTTAATTCACTTAATTTAAGACTAATGAAAACATATCTAGATACAATTTCTTAGAAAACAAAGCAGAAAGTAACTTATGCATGGTTATTTACAGAAAGAGTTTTCCTAAATAATAATATAAATATCATGTTCAAAAATTTGACAAATCCTTCCTAATAATCAATACTGCCAGTTTCAATGAACTTGACAAATAACAAAGGATATTTCATTTGTAGAATTACTAGATGAATCTAAAAGCCAGAAACTAAACCATTTGACATGGTTAATAATTTTATTTTTATTATACTAAATGTCAGGATAGAAATCAATGGCATTTACAAGCTCAAAGACTGTATCACACTCTCAATTATATCAAACACTGATGAACCAAACGTGACTGGACTTTAATGCTACAACTTTATGGTTTCTCTAAAGTATATGCAAATCTTTTAAATGGGCACATACGAAAATGTACAAAAAAATATAAATATTTAAAGAATGAACAGAAATGACTTTTAAGCATAAACCACCCTGCCATTCAATTTTGAAGCTTTATCTTTTCTTCATTAATTTGTCTTCTATCCTATTAAAGTTGTAGGTTTACAGATGATTTGGAAATTTCACATAGGTATAAGAAAGGAATGTTGAGTTGATGACAGTCTAGGGACAAAGAAAGAATTAGTCTTAAAATGAATTAAGTTGCATTTATCTAAATCATAATACAATAAAAACCATTTTATAGCAGAATTATATCAAGTATATATAATATTCTTCTGATAAAGATAACATAAAGTAGTATATATCAGAACGTCTTCTAAAGTATAAAGCTCCTGTAGGAGACCTTCATCCAGAAAACATTTACATTATATTTTAGACCCTCCAAGATGCATTCACGATAATCACACTTACTATTCACAGAATACCATTCAAATTAGTAAAATTACTTTGCCTTTTATCTTATTGCTAACACTGACACACTGACAGACTTTTTTTTTTTTTTTTGGCAGCTGGCCGGTGCTAGGATCCAAACTCTTGACCTTTTGACAAACTTTTAATTCCACTGTTTGGCTGTTTACAAAGACATTTTACTGGTTTAAAAGAAAACGTGTGTGGAGGGTGGGGGCCTTAATGGAATACTTAAAATGAAACTATAATATGATCTAGAAATGCAATTATATTTATAATACTCTTCAGCAAAAAAAACAAGTAAATTATATAAGCTTACGTATAACTCATATAAGTTATACATAAAATTTAAGCAACCAAATCACAAACCACACTACTTATAAAAAAAGAATACTTACTTATATAGTAACCTTGAAACACACTGTCCTTGTAGTCCTACATTCAGAAGTTAAGTGTTTTAGAAGACATTTTGCTAATGTAGTTCAAATACTTTGAAAGTTTAAATTACTTATAGATATGAAGTATATGGTACTTGTTTTAAAAACAGGATAGGGAGTAAAGATATTAGGTCTCTTTATGTGAAGATATTCCTGATTGCACAATAAATAAATGCTATTACTACATACATGGCCTCCAGATACTCACTGGATAATTAGTAAGACATCCTCTGCTCACGTCCTTATATATTCCCATTTATTCAAGTTGTAGTTTTCATTGTTGATACAAACTGACACATATTAAGGAAAGAGTAACAGAGCTTCTATTTTCTTCACACAACTTTTACACCTTGATCCAGATTAAGATGACTGCCTGACAAATTGCTTTTCAATCACGGATTTGTTTTTCTGTTTTTTTCACCAGATGTCTATGTGGATTTCACATTGTTTTATTAAAAATGCCCATTCCTTCTATTTAAGTACTTTGTCATATTTTGTTTGTTTTTCAAGTCTTCAAATTTTGTGCTGGTGGTTACTAAGCACACATCCTGCAGACTATCTTTAAAAAGAAGTTCAAAAAGTCTGATTTAAAGTTTAAGTTTACATATTATGTCTTAAAAAATTAAAATTTATGAAATTCAATTTTAAAAATCTATAAGTTATTTTATAAGTCTACAACTTATTAAATTTCAATAAGCTGTTAACAGTATAAAAAATAAATATGCTAACTTTGAGTAAAAATCATGAGTACACATTAAGCATTTAATATGTACTGGTACATAGGAATACATAAAAGGAATAAACAGAGTTAATATATTAATATTTCCTACCTCTATAAGAAGAAGAAATATCTTGTTCTATGAGCAGCTGCCATACTTTCAGACATATTTCTGACTTTTAGGTAATTTACAAATCCTTTGAAGAAAAGAAGCAGGCCTGAGAAGGTTGAAATAATATGGACATATATTATGTTCTTATATAAAAAATGGTCATGATAAATTTAAAATAAGACAATTATAAACAAGATCCTCTTGGCTTAAGAAATTTAATCTGCAGGATTCCATTCATTCCGCAATATATTTTACACTATAAAGATAATTCCATCATGAGGAAATATAATAAAATTTTACTGCCACCCACATTCTTTCAATTTGTTAAGCCTAGATGTACCAAAATTAAAGTAAAGCAAGTCCAGCTATGAAAATCAAGAATTACACAAAAACATAATTTGTTAGTAATTTCTTTAAATAGCAAAGTTACCTAATGCATTTAAACTGATTCAATTAATAGAAACCCCATTTTATACTAATTTTTTCAATTAGTATAACTACTGAGCAAACTAAGACATATTCACTTATATAAAAGCATTCAAAAAATAATACATGCATGTAGTTCCTACCAATTATGGAGAAAAAATAAATAATAAGCCTGTCTAGCAATATAAAGTGCCTGTCATCGGTGAAATCTGTATTTGAAGATGTGTGTATTATGTACATATTTTTAATTATGAGTACTTATTTTCAAGTAATAATAAAACACTAACTTATAGTAAAAATTAAGATAAAAGTCAGGAAAGACAACTTGGGAGGCAGTCACTAGTGATTTCTTAGATGACTTAGAATACATCTTATTTCTCAGTTTCCTCTGTAAAATAGTATTTTCAAATGATAATCATTTACAACACAGATCTCTAATAATTAAAAAAATGCTTCTAAAATGCTTCAGAGTATCAGATAGGAAATATTAAATAAGTACAAAAGCATTACCGTTATTAGGATAAGCCTATGAAATATTTAAGCATACAATTCCCAGGGAAACATTTATTGATTCCAGTAAATTTTTAACTCCAGACAATGGTATTGGGCAAAAACAAAAAACAAAATATATATACGTGCAGTCTTCCTCACCATGAAGAAAAGGGTCTGTGAATTTAAAACACAATGTCTCAAACTAAATTTGTACCCCAACTCCAATACAGTAATCAAAGCACTAAAATAGAAAGTATGTTTGTAATAAATTGAAGAAAGATAGAAGAGATGCACAAATAACTACTTAAACAAGTGGTATAAATTTCAGCTAAATCCAATCCCATCTGCTTCCTGTATCCTCCCTCCATTTGTGACTCCCTCTCTCTGAATTCCACCCTCATGCCCTTCCAGATGGTGTTCAAAGATAAAGGTAAAAGTATTATTGAAAAATGTAAACCAAAATTATTTCTGAGATCCCTTCTTTTGTCTATGAAATTGCTGCTTCTAAGACACATTTTGTTCTGTTCAGGAATTTTCTAAACTAAGTCAACTCATATTTACAAATCAATCACTCGGTGGCTGTTTCTTAGCGTTCTTCAATGTGCTCGACGTTCTTTTGAGTATATGTGAGAGCAACATTTTCATCATTGATTAAATTTTCACAGTCCTCTAAATAAATGTTAGATTATGGCTCTGATGTGGAACTGAAATTGTCCTCTTCATTCTACTCTGCCTCACAGTTACCTTCCTAAGATTCCTCCAATCTCTAAAGAATACACACACACACACACACACACACAAATATTCGTTTAATATGCTTAAGTACTTAATAGACTTTATAAATTTTTCCCTTTTAGGTAAGAAACACAAAATTCAAGCGTCAGAACACAATTAATATAAAACTGGCTTAACCCTTATATGAATCTGGCTTAACTCTTACACAAGTTCCCAATAAAGTCACAACACCATAATAATTTCACTATAATTATTAAAGAATTTAGTGACTTAACTGACCACCAAGAATTTGTTTCCCAGATCCTAAAGATCCAATAGCACGACTAAATAAAAACGCAAAGAGAAGACTGCCACCTACTGAAATGCTATTATTTTGTGGTGCAATTCTTAGAGAAATGTGGGCTTTTAAAAACTTAAGTAGAAATAATACATATTCTTCATGTCAGTAAATACATTTCAAATGTGGGTTAAAGATATAATGTGATTTTAAGATTAATTTAATTATCATGAACCTAAATTGAAAAACACAAGGGAACAAAAATTAAAAATCCATAAAATTCAACAGTATTAATAAAAAGATATACCTTGCAAGAAGATTACTCAACAGAAGTCCTGTAATCATTAAGCATGATGCCTTTCCTTGTGCCTGGCTGACTAATGATTGATGTAAGGCACATTTCAAAAGCATAAAGAAAGGTTCCATAATCCAAAAATAACAGAATGAATAGAACATCCAAACTATCATACTCTAAAATTTCCTAAGATCACTAAAGGAAATCATGCACATATATTTTCCAAGATAAATGCTAAAGACAATTATTTTTTTTAAATCATGTCAGAATTTTCCAATTTTGTAGCAGTCAATTATCATTCAACCACTGATTCTTTACACTGACAGCCTCCAGATTTTAAATCTAAGAAATGTGGAATGAATTGAAAAGCTGAGATAATGTGAATGTTTGGATATGAGAATTTTACAGAAGAAAATTATTTCCACATAAGTGACAACATAATTTATTTACATCTCACAGTTTTAGGAAATATCAAAGTTAAACTAAGTGCAAATTAGTTAAACTGAAATGCATTAAGAATAAACTTACCAAGTACAAGAAATATCCATAAAAACCAATGTTGTCGATTGAAATATCCAGTAAAATAATCAGAAAACTATGGAATGAACATAAATATATTAACCATATTTGTATACCTAAATTTGAAAATTGTAGATTATCCTCACTTTCAGAATGATTTACCTCAAATAACTCTTAACATTTAAAGACAGCACAAAAGGAAAAATAAGGAAAAAATAAAGACATTAATAACATACAGATATATAATTTGAGAAATCTTATGCAACAGCAAACAAACACAAAGTATTTTAGAAACAATAAAACAACTTCAAACTGCTTGCAAAAAAGAAAAGTAAATGCTATACATCTGAATCAAACATTTTCTCATTAAAGAGTTCACATCAGTCCTTTTTTATAATCTCTCATGCCACAACTACCATCCCAAACACACTACAGCAACCCGCTGCTTTAGATATTAAAACCAAAAGCCATACATTAGTTTAATCTTATCAGATGGGGATGTTCAGCTGGCCTCTAAAAAGAAAAGCTTTTGACCTTCTGTACACCCCCTACTGTTAATCACTGCTAAAAATACTAGGCGCATAAAGGCCCCCAACTCATTAGAGTCTTTTTATTTCCAAACTAAATGCTCTAGCTTCAGTTCCCAACAGCGAGCTGAGAACAGCTAAATGAACCTTGAAGTGGCATTTCAACAGTTCCTATTAGTGGCCATGGTAGACAGTTTTATATTCTCTGTGATGTGGGAATATGGACAGGCAGATGGAAGGCAGGGTTTGATGATACTGGACACAGGTATGTTTTCCTTGATTAGACTCTAAACAACATACTTCATGAATTTAAAAAGGTTTAAAAAAATCAATCTAATTTTCTTCAGCTACTTCAGATAATTCTTCCTTATTATTCTTAAGCACCTAAACAGTGCCCCAAATAAATATCTTTTCAAAGTGTTTAATACAAACTATTCTAAAACTACTAAAAACTATAAAAACTAGCTTGTTTTATCCACTCTGCTTTCACTGGTCTCCAAAGTGAATCTAATTTAACTAAAAATGATTTTGTTAAATGCGGATTTACCCTCAAATCCAAAATTAATTCAAAGAATTTCTAACTTTATAGGTAATTATTTCCAATTATTTGTTGGTGTTTTCCTAAAAGCTTTAAAATCCTATAGAATTGGTAATAAAACTGCTTACAAATTGTAAATAATGTCACCATTTAGAAAGCATATCAGCTAAAGATTATGCAAATCTGTCTTTTTAAAAACCTTTTAAGTATTTTCTCAAGAATATTTTCAATTAATTAGTAAACCATGATCTAAATTCTCAGCTTGGAATTTTAGAAATTTCAAATACTTAAAGTTTCAAAGTACTATTAAAGATGTAAATCCCACATACTCCTATAGCTTCAAAACATGTACAATGAAGAAAGAATTTGAAAATTGAAAAAAATGAAACTTATAAAGTAGAACTATACTATATTATTTTTAATCAAGTGATTAATAATTAGAAATAAAAGGTTTTTATGTAGGTTTTATAGGCTATAGGAACAACAAAAAAGAACCAAAGAAAAATATTTTGAGCTTTCTGTATGTGTTAACCAGTAAGAGGCCAGAAAATCAAGAACAAAGTCATTCTTCACCAAAAATAATTTCCATAAAGCTATCTCTTATTTACTCCCAACTGACGAATATAATTATCTGCACCCTTAAGCCAAAGACAAAGACTCGCCATGTAAAAAGTATGAAGAAATAAGCTTTTGGACTTATTACTGAGTTCTCAAAAATGTTTTAAAAATACTAAAATCATAGGGCTGAGCCAAGTTCTTAATTTTTTTATTAAGTAAACCAATAATATTGATTGGCCAATCACAGGCTGCAGAAATCAAATTTTTAAAAATAAATAAATCAACATTAAGAATGTATTTACTTTATTTTATTAATATAAAACCAGTATTTTAGACAGAAGTAATATCAGAATCCTGGGCTAGCAGCCTTACAACACCAATGTCATGGGTTCGGATCCCTGTACCAGCCAGCCACAAAAACAACAACAATAAAACCATTCCTGGGCTAAAGATATTTACACCAAATCTGAGGTCCATGACATCCAAGAAACAAAAAGGAAAGCAGCAGTATGACTTAATGTCTAATGAAAGAAACACCAGGCTTTTAGGAGAAAACCTTTCTCTCAACACTAAACTCCAAGAGGAATTTATTGCTTGGAGCCTTGTAGAAAAAGACAAACAAAGTACAGTGAAACAAAAGTAGTACGGAACTGGGAGAACAGGCACGTAATCGAGACCAAGCAGATTTTAATCCACATATAAACTGTAAGGCCTCTCAGTAAGTTATTAAACTCTTTTTAATAACCAATAAAATGGATGAATCATCACCAGCTTCAGAAATATGGATAGGGTTAAGGAACTTGGTGTTCTTAACAAATTATGCCTGGAACTCACTAAGTGTTCAATGGATGGTGGCTATTGTTATCTTATACAAAAGATTTTTTTAAATCCTTTTCTTATATCAATTCTCAATCCACACTAAAGGTGCAACATTAACCTTAACTCAGTAAAAGTATTTTAAAGGAAAACTAAACAGTCCTGGTGATCAAACTTGATGCTAGTACAATTGTCTCTTGGTATCAAAAGGGGATTGGTTCCAGGACCCAGAGATACCAAAATCCTAGGATGCTCAAGTCCCTCATATAAAATGACGAAGTATCTGCATATAATCTATACATATCCTCATATATACTTTAAATCATCTCTAGATGGTTTATAATCCCCAATACAATGTAAATGCTATGTAAATAGTTGTCATACTGTACATACTGTTTCTTTATTTGTACTTTTTTTTATTGTTGAATTATTTTTGAGTTCTTTTTTTCTCCAAATACTTTTGATCCATGGTTAGTTGAATCTGCAAATGTAGAAACCATGGATGTGGAGGATCAACTGCATATACCTTACAAAACCATGAGAAACTCTACTCTTTGAGTTTAAGTTCCCCATCTTATCACATTAACCAGAATTGATTACTACATAATATAACCACTTCTCAACCAGGGATTCTACGAGAGAATTAGGTTCTAATACCCTAAAGGCATAGGTTGTATATAATGGATTAACTTTCTTCTCATGCATCTAGAAGGAAACTAGCAATTTACCAACTTCGGAAGAATTGAGAAAGTAGCCCTCAAATCATTTTCTGTATTCAGTGACTTAGATGAGAAATATATTTGAAAAATAATAATTCTATTAGTATCATAACTAAGGTTGGACATATACTGTGCCTTTATCTTTGTATGTTCTATAACACCTGATAGACTTATGCTTATGGTAGTGCATGCTATATATCTTTTAAAATAAAATTAAAGCAAGAAACTGCTAGGGGACAGTTCTTTTTTTTTTTTCCTTTTTGTCTTTTTTTGTGTCTGGCAATGGATCGCAACCCTCAGTGTCGCGCCTGTACCGGACTGGGACTGGCAACAGGATCGCAACCCTCGGTGTTGCGCCCGCACCTCGCTCAGCCAGTGAGCGGGAACCGGTCTGTATGTGGGATCCGAACCCTCAGTGGGAGCACCGCCGCACTCCCAAGCGGCGCACTGTAGCAATGCGCCACCGGGCCGGCCCGGGGACAGTTCTTAAAATGGTTCAGATTTTAACCATCTTAGAAGAAACCAGTCCACAGATCCCAAACAAAAATTAAGTGATGTAAAACTAAAACCTATAATTTGGTCTGAACTAAGATGGGATCTGATAAGATTACTGAAACCCTGGGAAGCTAAAAAATAACTTTAAAAATAATAAAGAAAGGCCGAACCCGTGGCTCACTTGGGAGTGTGCGGTGCTGGGAGCGCAGCGGTGCTGGGAGCGCTGAGGCTGCGGGTTCGGATCCTATATAGGGCTGGCCGGTGCGCTCACTGGCTGAGCGTGGTGTGGGCGACACCAAGCCAAGGGTTACGATCCCCTTACTGGTCACCAAAAAAATAAATAAATAAATAAATAAAAATAAAGAAATGCATTACATCCACAGTAATACTATTTTTCTATTGGATACTTTTTAAACAGATTTAATAATCTAGGTGCATTATCAAAGTGTCTGAAACATTTAAGAGAAGCTAACACACTAGACCTATGATTCTACTGAAAATTTTATGAGGATTCAGCTCATTCAGTTAGAAATCAATGTTTAAATCAATACGTTTTGCAGAATTTATGTATTTTAATTTATTAATTTTAAAATAGCATTTAAAATGTGTGGGTAACTTTTCAGAAGAATTACTGAAACAATAAATAAATAAAGGCACTCTCAATCATTCTCCTAGGCCTTAACCTAAAACAACTAGAAAGAAACATTTGTAAAAAGGAACCAAAAGGGTCCTTAAGAAGCAAAGGTAGAGACCTAGGGGAAGATTACGCTAACAATACCAATGCCTACGCAATTTACAGAAAACTATTTTGGGACTAGAAAAGTTGTTGAGCTGGGGAAAAGAAAAATACCTGTCTTCCTGTGCAACACCTTATAAATGATAAATGGGCAGAGGGTAATTTCAGGGAACAACAAGAAAATGAGAAGAAAGGCTTAGATGGAACATAAAGGAAAAAAAAGATGAGTTCTGACAGCCACTTCACAGGCCCCTTTACTTTTGAACTCTCAACATTACAAACAAACAAACAAACAAAAAATGAGAAGACATTTAATTTCATGATAATTTTACTAACCAATAGAAATTTTTATGTTTTAATTCATTTTAGGCATATCTGCACTATATCCCAATAGTAGTAATGATCTACTGAGCACATATATGTGTGCAGTAACTGGGCAAGGTAATTTAATTATATCACTTCCATACCTCATAAAAGTCCTGGCCTATTAATGAAGAAACTAATGCTCAGAACAATTAAACAACTTCAAGTTAGAACACATATAAAAAAAGATGAGATTCAAACTTAAATTTTTCTGATTTTCAAAGTTCTTTCCACTACACTAGCAGCCTCTCATATAATGTTATAAAATGTTCACACCACAGAGATCACTACAATAATTACATACAGAAGGTAAGAATAAGCCTTGAAATAACTGTATTCATGAGCATAAAATGAATATTTATGAACCACACAGAAAGTTTCATACATTTTCATTTTAAAGATAAAAGATATATAGGCTATCAAAACACTCACCCTGACAATAAGGATCCACTTGATCAATGACAGGCCAAACCCACAGATAGCACCAGACCTTCCTGCTATGGTATTCGTTATACAGATGGATAAACAAAATCCAAGCCAGTTGAAAATAAATGCCACTAAAAGCAACAGAGACAGTTTTTTAAAAGACCACAATTTGGAAGCAAATTAACAGAGACATAATGTTAACAATACTTTATCACTCAATGGAAACAGCAGTTCCCTTTCTTTCAACTCTGATATCAATTAAGCCTTTTTTATAGACTGTAGCTTACCTTTTGCAAATGTAGTAGTTATTTACTGTAAATCAACAAATAGGTAAGCTTGGTTTCTTGTCAGTTTGGTCAATAGGAATCAATTCCTCAAAGCTTATCACTAGTAAGTGAAACTGCTAAAAACTAGATCACAACACAGATCCCATGTGGTCCCACCCAAAAGTCCAGCCTAAGCAGTCAGCCAACAAAACTGGCTTTGTTTTTTTAATAAAACAAAAAAATAAGATTAAATATTTCACACATATTTTATGGATTTCTTAAGGTATAGTTACAATTCTTACATGATCTTTTTCTGGGTTCATTTACAATATGTAACCCCATTTAAAAGCTATATAAAAACAGTATTAATTTTCAGTGTTTGCTGTCCTGATAACACTTTTAAGAACTGTAACATTTTAGACTTGTATATGGTAGGTGCTCAAAATAATTTATTAAGTAAAGATGGTTAACATCATTAATCGTTAGGGAAATGCAAACTAAAACCATGATAAGATACCACCATGCACCTATTAAAATGTCTGAAACAATGGGCCGGCCCCCATGGCTCACTCGGGAGAGTGCAGCACTGGTAGCACCAAGGCCGCGGGTTCGGATCCTATATAGGCATGGCCGGTGCACTCACTGGTGAGCGTGGTGCAGACCACACCATGCCAAGGGTTGCAATCCCCTTACTGGTCAAATAATAATAATAATAATAATGTCTAAAACAAAACAAAATAAAACTATCAATACCAAATGCTGCTGAGGGTTGCAGAGCAACAGGAACTCTAATTCACTGCTGGTGGGAATGCAAAATGGTACTCTCTTTGGAAGAGAGTTAGGTAATTTTTTACAAATCAGAATTCACATTTCAAACACTCTAATTCTTTTTAAAGTTACAAATAACTGAATTTCTCTTCAATTATATTTCCTTCAAGTCTAAAATGAGAATAATTTGGGTGATTAATTATTACCACAGCATGCTGATGTGAAGGTTTGCACATGATACAAATGGCTAAACCTTGGAGGAAAAGTTTTCTGAATAAAGCCAAACACA